AAAGTCAGAAATCAAGATGTTCAGGTTATTATCACAGAAAGTTTGAGAGGCTTGTACAGGTTAAGTGTTGCCATGTCTGCTCAACAATTATTTGAGATAGTATTCAAACTTGTCACTAGTTATTTTGCTAATTGAGGTGTTCATTTGTGACAGCTCTATAACAGTGGCCAGTTTCTGCATGGAGAGAAAATGTAACTGCCATGTAGCCTGTAGCGTTCACAGGGGCTCAACAACAAGTTTCATCCTGTGTTACTAAATATCCTGTTAGGTGTGCCGGCTGCTGAATTAGCCACATGGAATAGAGACATCTTTTCCCACCAAACACCAAGTGAACATGACGAAAATTAAACATTTTAGCTTAGAAACACATTTAAATTCACACTGAAGAGAACATAGCAGCCATATTTTATTCACACGTTTAATTGGTGCGATCTGGATTCAGGCTGGATTATTTTTTCTTCTGTTTTCACGGAGCTCCTGGACAAAATGAAACTTTCACCATTTGTACATTATACATTACTAACACTCTGTCGCCATCAGCTGGATCCCACTGTAACTTCAACATGGGGTTAGTCAAAAACATTGAATTCTTCATTTTACAAAATGCAAATCAGTCTTTTTTTATCAGATGATCCATCCATGACGTCACTGCATCATCAGGGGTTATTTAGTCAAATCTGGAAAAGGTCCTCCAGGACCTCAGGAGAAAGTATATGGCCAACAGGGGGCGTGCCAGCAGAACTCTATATGGAATAGAGTTCCAGTATTATGTCTTTTAATTCAGTTCATGTTCTGTTGAAGATTCTTGTCACAGATAAGCTGGAGAGGAAAACACCAGCAATGGAAGTTTTATTTAGTCATTCAAGGACGACAAACTGTACTGGAGTTATGTAATACTATAACATATCCCATAGATGAAAATAGGTCCTACCTGGCTAATCTTCAAAGTTCAATGAGAAACTAAAATGATTTTAAGAATAAAACAAGACCAGGGTGAACAAGGAAGTGACAATTACACATTTTAGAGGAAACGAGAAATATATATTCAGTATTTTGATTATTACCATTACATCGCTTGTAAAACAATACTAGGCTACACCAAGGCTATTCACCTTCAACAAGTGGGCCAAATAGGAAAAGCACTGGGGGGTTGTGGGCCACACTGAATATTTTGTCAGATCATCTCTTATGTTAGTTGATTTGTTCCAACATAGAATAAAGAAGGGACATGCATCCCTTTTTTCAGACAGCAATGAGTCCATGCGTAAAAAAAAAGTATGAAAGCTATGATTAAGGCTAGATACAGATGTGCATGTACATTCCTCCCCGAAAAACATGTGGCGTTTTCTAACATATACACAAATGTAGAAAACATGATGAATACAATAAAACAGTCAGACTGAGGTGACCCTCCGTAAAGAAATGGAGTAACAAACCAGTGGGGAAATATAGCCAATTTAAAAAACATGATTTAGAGAATCTGACATGACAACTACATGGGTCAGTGTCTCTCTTTAGTTACAGGCCATTAAAAAATTAAAATGGGCCAACTCACTAGTTGAACAGGTCGGGCCTACACTGTAAATTGCAGAGTGTAATACCAAACTTTCTGTATTGCCTAACTTTCTGCTTGCACAGTGCAAGGGAACCACTGGAGTTCAAATGTTATGCAACAGGTTGGTTCCTGTCAAGTTCAGGAAGGATCTTGTCCAGCGTGCTTAAAAATATCGATTTATTCACAAAGGGAAAAAAAAAATAAGATTAAACTTAAAATCAAAAGAATTTACCAGATTCAAGATTCAAGATGTTTATTGTCATGTACACAGCAGCTAAACACAGTT